TTATTCCCACTCTTATGTTTAACAGGGATCACATTTCAGTTAATTTTCAACACTTAAGAATAACTGTGTGATAATTACAGAATTAAACCAGTCATATTAAGTAGAACAGACAAAAAAACTACTAAGAGGGATAATGTATTAAGTTGTCCATTAACAGTCAGGGCTATGCTGATCAAGTCACCATTTCTCATAGTGTCCATTTCACTTCAGGAGGTTTCCTTTTTGGTGTTCAGTCAGTTGTCACCGATCAGGGAGAACATATGGTATTTGTCCCTTTGGGACTGGCTTACTTCACTCAGCATGATGTGTTCCAGATTCCTCCATTTTGTTGCAAATGACTGGATTTCATTGTTTCTTACTGCGGTATAGTATTCTAATGAATACATATCCCATAATTTCTTTATCCAGTCTACCGTTGATGGGCATTTAGGTTGGTTCCAGGTCTTGGCTATTGTGAATTGTGCTGCAATAAACATTAGGGTGCAGACCGCTTTTTTGTTTGTCAATTTAAATTCCTTTGGGTAAATTCCAAGGAGTGGGATGGCTGGGTCGAACAGTAGGGTTATATTCAGGTTTCTGAGGAATCTCCAGACTGATTTCCATAGTGGCTTGATCAGTTTGCATTCCCACCAACAGTGGGTTAGTGTCCCTTTTTCCTCACATCCTCGCCAGCATCTGTTGTTGGTAGATTTCTGTGTGTCAGCCATTCTAACTGGGGTGAGGTGAAACCTCATTGTGCTTTTGATTTGCATTTCCCTGATTGCTAGTGACCTTGAACATTTTTTCATGTGCCTGTTGGCCATTTGGATTTCCTCTTTTGAAAAATGTCTATTGAAGTCCTTGGCCCATCTCTTAAGTGGGTTGTTGGTTTTGTTTTTGTGGAGTTTCTTGATCTCTTTGTAGATTCTGGTTATTAACCCTTTATCTGTTGCATAGTTTGCAAATATTTTTTCCCATTCTGTCGGTTGTCTCTTCACTCTCCTGACTGTTTCTTTTGCAGTACAGAAACTTCTCAATTTGATGCAATCCCAATAGTTGATTTTGGCTTTGACTGCCTGTGCCTCCCGGGTCTTTTCCAGAAACTCTTTGCCTGTGCCAATATCTTGAAGGGTTTCTCCAATGTTCTCTAATAACTTAATGGTGTCAGGACGTAGATTTAGGTCTTTAATCCACGTTGAGTGGATTTTTGTGTAAGGTGTAAGGTAGGGGTCTTGCTTCATGCTTCTGCACGTGGAAATCCAGTTTTCCCAGCACCATTTATTGAATAGACTGTCCTTGCCCCAGGAATTAGTTTTAGATCCTTGATCAAATATAAGTTGGCTGTAGATGTTTGGATTGATTTCTGGTGTTTCAATTCTGTTCCATTGGTCTATCCATCTGTTTCTGTACCAGTACCATGCTGTTTTGATTACAACTGCCCTGTAGTATGTCCTGAAATCTGGTATTGTGATGCCTCCGGCTTTGTTTTTGTTGTACAAGATTGCTTTAGCTATTCGAGGTCTCTTGTGCCTCCATATGAATTTCAGCATCATTTTTTCTAGATCTGCGAAGAATGTCTTTGGTATCTTGATTGGGATTGCATTGAATCTATAAATTGCTTTTGGGAGAATGGACATTTTGATGATGTTGATTCTTCCAATCCATGAGCATGGAAGATTTTTCCATTTTTTGGTATCCTCTTCTATTTCTTTCTTTAAGGTTTTGTAATTCTCATCGTAGAGATCTTTAACGTCCTTGGTTAAGTTTATTCCAAGGTATTTGATTGTTTTTGTAGCTATTGTGAATGGGATTGATCTTAGCAGTTCTTTCTCAGTCATGGCGTTGCTTGTGTATACAAAGGCTGTTGATTTTTGTGCATTGATTTTATATCCTGCCACTTTGCCAAACTCCTCTATGAGTTCCAATAGTCTCTTAGTAGAGTTCTTTGGATCCTCTAAGTACAGAATCATATCGTCTGCAAAGAGGGATAGTTTGACTTCTTCCTTCTTGATTTGTATTCCTTTGATTTCTTTTTCTTGTCTAATGGCTCTGGCTAAAACTTCCAGAACTATGTTAAATAGCAGTGGTGAGAGTGGGCATCCCTGCCTGGTGCCAGATTTCAGTGGAAATGCTTCCAACTTTTCCCCATTCAATTGGATGCTGGCTGTGGGACTTTTCTACCAGACAGAACCATCACCACTGCTCGCTCCCAGGCCAGCACCTCTGCTGATGGCCGCCCCCCACCCCCTCAGAGTTAGTGCCGGGGGTGGGTGCAGGGGGGGGCAGGAGACAGGCAGTAAGGAAGTGACACTTGTCAAACACCTGTAAGCACCAAACACTTTGTAAATGTGATCTTATTTAGCCCTCCCACCCCCACCCCAAGCAGGCAGGATCAGCCCCGTTTACAGAAGAAGAGACAGAGGCTCCCTACATAGTGAGAAGCTGGGCTGGGCTTCAAAGACAGGACATGCTGCAATGGCCAGGTGGGAGGAGGTGGGACCACACGCCAGGAAGTCAGCCAAGGAACAGGTGGGCCAATGGACCATGGTGGGGCACACCTGTCCTCGGCCCTTCCCTTACCTGCATGATGGCACTGAACTGGGGCTCGTTCTCCCTCTGCTCCTCGGCTAGCCCCAGCTGCACGCTGGTCAGCACAGTGGACTTGAAGAAGTACCTCCAGTTGTGATAGAGGGTCTGGAAAAGGAGCTCAAACAACTTGGCCTTCACATCCGGGGAGGGCCGCCATGGAGACACACACATGGACGCTCAGCCCTTCCCTTCCCGCAGCCTTGGCCCTGCGACAGAGGCCAGAGAGATGCCTGCTGCCAGCAAGCAGGGCACCAGCTTCCCACACACACTCTGTGCAGAATACCCAAGCCCACAGTGTCACTGTGCACATCAGGATCGCTTGGCAGAGATGGCCCATGCAGGAGACAGACACCCCCATCAGGGCTGAGGGGCCCTTTTTCTGAAGGAAGCATTCAACTCTACACACCAGACAAAAAGGCAGCCGAGTGAGGGGCCAATTAGGACCACAGATTCTCTGTTCTGAAAAATGCCAATATGACCATCCCATCTTGGTTGTGTCGTTCACTTTCCTAGGGCAAAAACTCAATTCCAGCTAATGTGTTGGTGTTAGGCAACCTCTCAGGCTAACGAAAAACAAGATGTCTTCGCTAGGAGAGCGAAGTTTACAGAGCATTCAGGAACCACCAAGAAGCCATCAGGAGGACCTCCTGGGGGAGCTGCACACCGTGCTGCTTGCTCTCTGGACCCAGCTCACTCTTCCTGGCCTCAGAGATTCTGAGTGCAGCAGGAGAGGGGGAGGCAGCTCAGCAGGGTTTCCCAGCTTAGCCCCAAACCTCCAAATCAGCGGACAACAGGCACTTCACATTATTCCAGAGGTCTTTGTAGAACTCTAAGTTATAAAGCCCAGATATATTAAAATGAAACCAACACCAGAGGCCACAGGCTTCCATGGCAGGAAGCCGTACAGGGCTCCCGTTTGCTTCCTGAGGCGAAGCAAACATTGTGGCCGCTACGGGGCTGGTCTGCCCTAAACTCGTGCAGCCACTGAAACTCTGATGTCTCCGTGTGAATGGTGGATGGACTGAGAGAGGAGATTCGAGCTAACTGTGGCACCTGAGAGTGGCTATCACACACCTGATTACTAAGTACACCCTCTGCACTATAACCCCCGAACCATGGCCTCAATAAGCCTTTCCTTTCCCAAAGACACTCCTCTAAGGCATCTCAAAGTAACAAGAAGCAGACTAACACAACAACTGAACTTACTTTGTTCTTAGAACAGACAGTTGGAAATGTTAACTCACAACTCAAGTTCCATCTGTAGGACCATGGCAGGTACGACGCCGAGGGACTGAGGGCACAGAGCTCACCCGTGACACGGAAGCTGCCTCGCACCCTACAGGCTGTGAACACTCTTATGAGGGAAGCATACTTGGTGATGTGTGTTGACCGATCTTACCGACCTAACCTGTGATGGTCAACCTGGCACACGCACACCACACCGCTCTAATGGATTTAATCAATACAGAGAGACTGTACAAAGCTAAATGCTATCTTTCTTGGAAAAACTACTTCAGAAGAATATTAAAATGACTTGAAAACACAACGCCTTTTCCTATTTCAATACTCCCCAATCTCGAGACGGGGGTGGCACACAGCACCGCCGGCCCTCCTACCTCCGCGATGATGGGGTACACCTGCTCCATGCACAGGGCAATGATGCTGGGGAGGAAGGGCTTGAACACCTGGCCAGGCTCCTGCACCACCACCTGCAGGATCTTCAGGAACTTCTCCACCACGCGGCAGCCGGTGCTGCCCTCGTGCAGGATGCTCTCCGCCAGCTGCTCTCTGCAGACAAGAGGACGGCACACAGTCACCAAAGCCATGCTTCCCTGCCATCCAGCAGGTGACAAAAAGCAGCCGATGGCCCCAGGCCCCACTGCTTCTCCCTAGAACCCAAAATCCTCAGGCAGCGGCCGGTGGTTACCTGGTAAACATGTTGAGGAAAGTCTGTATGATCTTCTCAGTGAAAGGCACGCCCATCTGGACTCGAAGGCCTCGAAACAGGGTGAGGAAGAAGCTCAGCATCTCATCAGTCACATCTAAGGGAAAGAGCAAGGCAGGAGGTCACAGCGAGGCACCGAGGGTTACACAGCCCACGTTCAGTGGACTCTTCCACAATCTACACTCTCTCTTCAAGGCTTCCTGCACCACCAGAGCCAGTGACAGAAAGCAGGAATGATAGAGGACATGCAGAGAACAAGGCTCTGGTGCATGGGACCTCTGCTCCCCGGGTCCCCACAGGAAACAAAGATCAAGCTGAAGCCCTCACAGGCTGGCCTCCAGCACGATGGATCACTCTGTGCACACGCTGACCACTGTCCAGTGGGATCAACGCCTGGGGCTTCAGCCACTTCTCTCCATGACCACAGCCCCTGCGCCTGGGCCAGGGGGCAAGTGGCTCAAAGTGGATAATGAAGGTATGCACCAGCTGCACAGCTCTGCTCCATTAAATGGATTAATTGCAGAAAACACTGGATACATGTAGTGCAATTCCAATCCCACATCTCAAACTGCACAGAATGAGCTTGTAAGCGGCCATCAGTGAGTGTGTGCTGACGGTGAAGCCCCTGGTCCCCTCCTGGGAGCCCGACAAGACCATGGTAAGCGCTCTCATGATGCTGGCCAATGGCCCCAGGGCAGGAGTGAGCCTCCATTGGTGACCGTGACCAAGTGGGATGGGCCACACAATCTCAGTCAAACTGCCCTGCTGAGGAGCTGAGCAGCTCTAAGCTGAAGACATTCTCTCGCTGCTGTCGTGGAAGGTCCTGTGACTCCCACGTCCGCTCACGTTCCAGAGTGGCCAAGGCAGACTCAAAAAAGCCAACCAGGCCAGGGGCCTCAGCGACTCTGAGCCACACGACAGCACTGCCAAGGCCACACTGACGGCTCTGCTCCCTTCCCCAAGGGGTCCAGCTGCGCCTGTGCACACCACGGTGCCCACCCTGAGCACAGCTCCCCCTCCCCTAATCACTGCGCAGCCACAGTGAGTGCTACCCCTCTGACCAACTGCTCTGGCTCTTGGGAGTGCCATCCACCAGTGAGGCCTCTGGGCCAGCTCCTACTTGACTGATGGATAAAAGCTGGAAAGAGGGCCCGGGAGACCTGAACGGATTCCTGCAGCGAGTGGTAGCAGATCTGGAGGAACTTGGTGGACTCCCCAGAGATATTCTCCACGATGTCTTCTAAGACACTAAATGTCTGGTGGATGATCACTTTGGCTGCAAATTGAGATCAGGGTGCCGATTATGACGCGGCTGAGGAAAGCAGGATGCGAGGGAGCATGGGGGAGGGGAGGGAACTTGCAGAGGCATCCAGAAGACGACCAGGAAGCCCGGCCAAGGGAGCAGGGCCTCTGCAGGCCGGGGTGCCAGGGTTTCTCTCTGTGCCTGCTCTCTAGGTACTTGTTTATCTTACTTCTCTCTCTGATGCCAGGACTCCAGCTGCCCACCTGCTTGCTCAGGTTTTTGCCCCTACCTACCGGCAACAAGTCCACAGGAAAAAATAAATAAATAAAACAAAATGATCCCAGGTCAGGTGCCTGAGATTCAGTCGGAACTCCACACTGCCAAATGGGCCAGTGAGCGAATCACCACAGGCAAGAATGGACACGTGCAGTCAGCCTGCTCCTCCAGTGTGCTCATGCACACAGACGGCTTGTCCAGTCCTCAGCCTAGCAGCCTGTGGCCTGATGACACGGATCATCCTGGGTGACACAATCTGACAATGCCCCTGTGCATGAGTGTACTTTCTGAAACCATGCAGCATGCTGGGAACACTGAAGCAGTGGCAGCAAATGGGTAGCGAGAAACGCCTGGCTGTGAGCCACACACAGTCCCCAGATGTCTCCATATGCTGGGCTGGATGCCTGGCACCCCCACCTTTGCCGGAGTGCAGCTCAGACACGAAGTTGGGACAAGGCAAACAATGTGCCTGGCGAGGAGAAGACCCAGGACAGGGAAGCTGTCACTGCTCCCAGCACACGTGGAGTGGAGCTTCCCACCAGCCTCCCCAGGGGACCCCATGGCTCAGCCTGAGCCTGGTGCGCTTAACCTGGCGACCTCCAGAGGCTGACCCAAAGCCGGCTGACAGCCAGCTTCTGCCTGGCAACACGCTCTGAACGTCCCCACACCCCGGAGCACAGCCACCTCTGTGGGGGTTGACACAGCTGCAGGGAGTGGGGAGCAGAAAGTCATGCTCAGGAGGTAAGAGATTTGGGTCTGGCCCCCAGCTCTTCTCGATCCTGAGTGCCGGTTTCCTCCTCTGAAAATGTGGACAGCACCACCTCACCTGGAAGGCCGGAGATGGACAAAGACAGCGGCCCACAGTAGGCCTGGGCCAGCACACCGGCCAGCAGCACTGGGCAGTGAACGCTGCTGACTGAGGAGCCGCCCACAACAACTCCAAGCATGTGAACTCTTACCACTCCAGGAAACCACAGTTCCAGGGGGAGAGACCTCTGCCCCCAAAGACAACTCAAACAAAAACAAACATTTATTTAGAAATCTCAGAAAGCACTGCGGGTCTGTGTAAGAGGAGTGTGGGAAGTGAACTGGGCTCCACCTCCACAGGACAGGCAAGGGAGCCCCTCAGACCCAGCAGTGAGCCCTGGGCCCGCCACTTTCTCTAGGAGCCTAGGCAACTTCCACTTGCCAGGCTGCAGCGAGACAGCGCCTCTCTGATGGTCAGATTTACAGACACTGCCTGAAGCAAGTACACTGACCACTGTCAATCATCTGGCAAGTACATGTCACTGCACCGGAAACTGCTCCAAACAATCAGAACAGACCATGGAACGTGCAGAAAGAAACACGCCTAGACTCTCCAAACATTCCATGGTCATGAAAGCGAAGAGATGAGGGTGCTTTCCTACATGAAAGGAGACTAGAGATGTGACCCTGGAATACAGCCTTGGTTTTTCAAAAGCAAAAAAAAAAAAAAGTATTTTGGTAATAACTACTGGAGAAAATTTTAATGTGGTGTATATGTTAAATGCCATTACTTCAACACCATCCCACATTTAGACTGCGTTAATGGTGTTTGCTTACAGTGCAGACAGCACCTCGTTCTGTAGAAAGGCAACACTTTCACCACGGAAGTGGTGATGTCTGTCCTTCTCTAAAATGGTGTGTGTTGGTAGGAAGAAAGCACCACCGTGGCAAAACAACACCTGGTAAAAGCTGGGTGAAAGATACACAGAACACCCAGACTGAACAGATGAAGCCATTCACCTTACTTTTCCAACTATTACATAGGTGTGAAGCTACTTCTAATTATAAAGCTGGGACAGGAAAAAGGATAAGATACATCTCACAGGATCACAGGGAAGACCAAATGAAATAATGTACACAAAGTTTTCAACCCATTCAACAAATGTTAACCTTGCTCTTAGCTACATTCTCCTAGCAAACCATCACTGTCACTCAGCTGACATGACACTTTCCAACCCTCTGAAATGGTCTTAAGGCTTGCTCTGGACAATAAGCTGTAAGAACCACTGCTCCTGGTGTAGGCACACATTGAAATGGGCCCTTCACCAAGCTGGATCCTTAAGCCCCAAGTTTAATGTATAGAAATGTTTTCTTGTGGCCAGCACTATGGCATAGCATGTAAAGCCATCGCCTCTAGTGCTGGCATCCTATATGGGCGCCAGTTCAACTCCTGGCTGCTCCACTTCCAATCCAGCTCTCTGCTGTAGCCTGGGAAAGCAGTAAAAGATGGCCCAAATCCTTGGGCCCCTGCACACATGAGGGAGACCCTGAAGAAGCTCCTGGCTCCTGTCTTCGGTTCAGCGCGGCTCCAGCATTGCAGCCAATTGGGGAGTGAACCAGTGGATAGAAGACCTCTCTCTCTGTCTCTGTCCCCCCCCCCCCCGTGTAACTCTGACTTTCAAGTAAATAAATGAATCTTTAAAAAAAAGAAATGTTTTCTTGCACTAAAGCCACTAAGCTGTTGGGTTGCTTGTGACCACAGAGCTCACCCTAGCCTATGCTGACTGAAATAATTAGCAAGCATGGTAAAGTGAGAAAAGGAGAGCCTTCAGCTTTGTAAAGCATGACTCCACAACAGCTGCACAGGTAACACCCACACTGTTTAATCTTCCTATACCTTAGTTTCCTCACAAACAAACTAAGACAATTAACAGTCCCTAACTCATAAACTGATGGGAGAATTCAAAGAATTACTCAGTTTTTTGAAAAAAACTCGAAAGCAGGATCACCGAGCAGAGTCTGAAGTCGGGTGCTAGCACAGCCAGAGATTGGATGTGGATGCAAATCTGCTATGGGGGACCAGTCCCAGGACCCCCCAGAGCCATGTGCGGATGCTTGGGTCCCTTACATAGAATGGTGCAGTGCCTGCAGAGCACCCGGGCCCATTCCCTACCCACAGGCCTCAGGGAACGATGCTAAGTCATTTTAGGGAAGCATGACAAGAAACAACCCTGTACATGTTCAGTCCAAATGCAGCATTCTTCCCAAATATTTTCAACCTGTACCTGGATGAACCCTGGCATGTGGAAGCCATGGACAGAGACCTGAGTGCCCAGAGTGTTTACCTCAGTAGGTAAGCTAGGGGCAGGCGCTGTACAGTAGTGGGTGCAGGCAGCTTGGGAAGCCCGCACTCCAAGTCACAGTGCCTGGATTCAAATCCCGCCTCTGTGCCCAATTCCAGCTTCCTGCAAACGTACAACCTGGGAGGCAGCAGAGATGGCTCAAGTACTTGGGTCTCTACCAACATGTGGGAGACTCAGACTGACCTGGCTCCCAGCTTTGGGATGGCACAGCCCTGGCTATTGCAGGCACCAGGGGAGTGAACCAGCAGAGGAGAGGTGTCTCATCTTTGTTTCTCTCTCTCTTTCCCCCTCTCCCTCTCTCTCTGCCTTTAAAATAAAAAGAATGTAATTTTTAAAAACATAGGTAAGCTACTATTATCCAACTATAAGCATATAACATAAGATACATTTAAAAATAAAAAAGAAAGAATAACAAGGCATAGTTATAATGGTTATTTTCTAAAATATTAAAATTGACAAATTCAGGAATGTTCCTTTTCCTTCTTTATACTATTCTAATATTTTTGTACAATGAGCACACATTAATCTTCCTGATTATAAAAGTAATGTTCTTAAAAATATAGAGTGTTCTTTATTATATCTACTAATTCATGAAGCATTCTTTTTTTTTTTAATTTTATCGTATAATATTTTTATGCATGTATATACTGCATAATGTCCCATTAGGGTAAACATGTACATCTCAAAGTTTAACGGTTCTTTATGGTGAAAACATTTATAATCCCTTCTCCTACTGTTTTTTTTTTTTAACTTTTATTTAATGAATATACGTTTCCAAAGTACGAATAATGGATTACTATGGCTTCCCCCCCATACCGTCCCTCCCACCCACAACCCTCCCCTTTCCCACTCCCTCTCCCCTTCCATTCACATCAAGATTCATTTTTGATGATCTTAATATACAGAAGATCAGCTTAGTATACATTAAGTAAGGATTTCAACAGTTTGCTCCCACACAGAAACATAAAGTGAAAAATAAAAGATGATTTTTTTTAATGATGATGAAATCAGATCAGACCTATTGTCATGTTTAATCCCAGTGAGAGTCAAGTTGGGAGTTGATAGTTTCTTTTCTTTTCTTTTCTTTTTTTTTTTTTTTTTTTTACAGAGGATCAGTTTAGTATGCATTAAGTAAAGATTTCAACAGTTTGCACCCCCATAGAAACACAAAGTGAAATATATTATTTGAGTACTCGTTATAGCATTAAATCTCAATGCACAGCACATTAAGGACAGAGATCCTACATGAGGAGTAAGTGCACAGTGACTCCTGTTGTTGACTTTACCAATTGACACTCCTGTCTATGGCATCAGTAATCTCCCTATGCTCCAGTCGTGAGTTTCCAAGGCTATGGAAGCCCCTTGAGTTCTCCGACTCTTATCTTGTTTAGACAAGGTCATAGTCAAAGTGGAGGTTCTCTCCTCCCTTCAGAGAAAGGTACCTCCTTCTTTGAAGACCTGTTCTTTCCACTGAGATCTCACTCACAGAGATCTTTTGCCAGAGTGTCTTGGCTTTCCATGCCTGAAATACTCTCATGGGCTTTTCAGCCAGATCTGAATGCCTTTAGGGCTGATTCTGAGGCCAGAGTGCTATTTAGGGCATCTGCCATTCTATGAGTCTGCTGAGTATCTCACTTCCCATGTTGG